CCGTGCTACTTATGACTGGTTTTGTGCTCCAGGGTCACATATGTGCGAAGGCAAAGTATAAGATTTATATTCATGAACTTTAATAAAACAAATAACACCGTGACAGTTACAAGACCATACAGCAGCAATACAATAACAGTAAAACAACCATATACTATAGTGTTAGACAAAACATTAGATTGAAATTACAAAAAAAAAAATAGTTACATCACAAAAGCAACACAAATATGTTGGCCACTGATAACCGCATCAATCTCTGCTACCACATTTTGATAAGAAATTTTAAGTTTTATATCAAGGTATGAAATTTGATTCTGTATTCCAAAGCTTTTCAAAAGCACAAATTACCTGTTTCAACTCATGAAAATAAAACATTAGTCGTGTGTAACTGCAAAGAGGTACATACAGTAGTTCAAGCTGCATCAAAACATGCTTTTTCATAAATAAAGGTCAAAGCAAGAAATCCATCCACCAACAGACTAATAAACTGAATCGGGAATCTCTAAAATAAGATGGGATTTTTTTTTAAGAAAAACATTTGGCAAGTTAAACTTCACAGATTCTAAGTAGCAACCTCCATTCTAGAGCAATGAAATGATCCCTTTCCTTGCCATGTACAGCTATTTACACAAAGAAAAAAGTCAAGGGAAAAGCAAAGGCAGAATGTGGCACGTCTTTGTTGAATCAGCAAGGCTGCTGTACCTTACACTTACAAGCTTCAGAAATGTAAAAGAGACAAGAATTATAAGCCACAGCCTGTGGTATTGGGCATTTTTATGGTCTTAACAAATTATTACATTGACTTTTTCTAGCATGATAAACAAAGTTTAGTTGATCGTAGATCCTCATAGACAGCATTCATATAAGCCATAATTTGAAATCAACCAACACCTAGATCCTTTTTGCATGTCTGAACTAATGGCCTAATGCTCAGCAAGACCAACAAATACAAAAAGAAATCCAATGTTTTATTATCAATATGGGTTTGTGTATCTTGACATGCATGCTAGAGGAGTCTAGGGTAAGTGCGTTGGTTTCCAACTCGGCCAGTGTATAAGTCTCTGTATAAGTAACTCGGCTAGAATAAGTCACTTTGTCTCAAGGCTGTGTAAGCAATCAATTTCTTCAACATTTTTCTTCTCTTTCATTCAGGTCTCTCTACCGGGGTGCAGTGAAGGCACCTTGTGCGGCAGAAACAGTGGCATTGGTGGCTGCCTGGCGCACCACCTGATTGGAAAGCACACCTGTAGCAAACTCAGCCTGGGCCTTCTTAAAGCTCGCTTCAGTCTGCCTGTACATAGAATGAACCTGATGGGAGAAGATGCAAAAAAAAAAAAAAATTCATTCAACAGATCATTATAATTAAGTATGAAGTAAACTCCTGCAGACATTATTGTTCAAAAGTTTGGGGTTGGCTTTTTAAAGTCTTTGAAAGTCTATAATTTTCTCCAAGGCTGCTTTTTTTGTTAAAAATAAAGTAAAAACAGTAATATTGTGAAATATTACTACAATTTCAAATGACTCTTCTCATTCTAATCTTTCTAATCTGCTGATTTGGTATTGATTTCTTATTATTATCAATGTTAAAAACTGTTTTTGTGGAAACCATTATACTTTTTTTGTCACTTTTGACTAACTAAATGCCACTTAAAACAATTAATTTCCCTTGATTAGTAGTTTTTTTAAACCAACCAAATTGATCATAAAAACGGCAAGGCAAAATTTCAAAACAAATTCTGCAAAGAGTCTGCATTTAAGATACCATTAAGCATTATTTCAAGATAAAAAGTACTAAAGAGCATGATGAATGTCACGTTTTAACAGCAAAATCCATAAACAGCCACTCAGATGTGACCCACAAATCACTACACCCAACAATAACAAATGGAAAAGCAGCTGGCATTCTGCAATTGCCATACATTTACATACTAAAAAGCCAAACAATATGGCATCTCTATTGCAACAAACAAAATGTACTACTTAATGCTATAAAACTGAGAGATGCATATAGTGAGACAAATGTAAAATGTCAGCTAAAATGCTTGAGCACTTAAAGCATTGTATCTAAGTCTGCTTATTTTAGTTTACAGAGTGAGAAGCCAGTCAAACCCTGGAGTATCAGTGGAAAAATCCACCAAAGAGGAAGACACAGTTTCAAAATAGGATGAAGATCAAACATTTAGTATGGTTTTCAACTTATACTTAAGATTATATCCCTAATTTGACTGCCGGTGGATGCTGTTATTGGTGATGTGATTTACCCTCTTGAGCAACACCACTCCCATGGCCGCCTGAGCGGTGAAGAGCACAGCATTGATCATCATGATCGCACCCACTGCTTTGTTCTTGCTAAGAGCAGCTAAACTCACGATCCACCCACTGTGACACAAATGAGAGAGAAAGTAACAAGCCAGTGGCCAAATTTGTAAGAATGGAATGACACTAAATAACAATAAACAGGTTAGTAACTAAATTTGTACAAATGTGTCTGTTTTATCACGCTCACCTGAAGCCCCAGCCAGGGATACCGATAGTCATGATAACATAAAGCACCAGTTGGGCGAAGAAGACAAAGAAAAATGCAAAGAAGTTGAAGGAACTGTCACTCCTGTTGAGAAACGGAAGTGCACAATGACAAATTCATTATGTTTGGAAACAATTGGCTGACATATGAATTCTAAACGCTCAAACATTTTTAACATAATAGTATAACAAACTATTACACATTTTCATGATTATTTTCCACTTTTTTGTCATTGAGCAAATAAAAAAAAATAGTCTGAAATCTGCAT